GGGGATTCTGGGGGGGTTTGGGGGGAAATTTGGGGATTTGGGGAAAAAACTAGGAATTTCAGGGAGGAATTTGGGGATTTGGGGGAGAAATTTGGGGATTCTGGGAGGGATTTGGGGGGAAATCTGGGAATTTTGGAAGGAAATTGGGGTAAAAATTTGGATTTGGGGGAGAAATTTGGGAATTCTGGGAGGAAATTTGGGGGTTTGGGGTAAAAACTAGGAATTTTGGGAAGAAATTTAGGAATTCTGGAAAGAACTTGGGGAGAAATTTGGGAATTCTGGGAGGAATTTGGGGGTTTTAGGGAGAAATTTGGGAATTCTGAGAAGAATTCCTGCATGGAAAGGGAAAAATTTGGGAATTTGAGGAGAAAATTGGGAATTTTGGGAAGAAATTCCTGCCTAGAAGGGGAAAATTTGGGGAATTTGGGGAGAAAATTGGGGATTTTGGGAGAAATCTGGGATTTGGGGGGAGATTTGGGAAATTTTGGAAGCAAATTTGGAATCTGGGGAAGAATTCCAGAAATTCTGGGAAGAATTCCTGCATGGAAAGGAGAAAAATTTGGGAATTTGGGGAGAAAATTGGGAATTTTGGGAGAAATTTGGGGATTTGGGGAAGAATTCCTGCCTGGAAAAGGTGGGAGAGGGGAGAAATTTGGGAAAATTTGGGAATTTTTAGGAACTCACCATGTGAAAAATCCCTTTTCTCATCCTTTTCCTGCTCTTCTTTCCCGGGGTCCATCCCTGAGGAATTCCTGGGGAATCCCAAGGATTTGGGGTTGGAAAAAATGGGAAAAAAATCCGTTAATTCTGCATAAATTTGGGGATTTTTATGGGGAAAAGGGAATGAAAAATATCCCAATAATTTTCGAAATATTTGGGAAATTTTCAGGAGGAAAAAGGGATGGAAATGGAAAAAATTCCTGTTAATTTTCCTTAAATTTGGGAAGTTTTAGAGCAGCAAAGGGGGATGGGGAATGGGAAAAAAAAAAAAGGGAAAAAAAAAAAAAAAAAAAAAAAAAAGTTAACTTTACGTAAAATTGGGAATTGTTTCATGAGGAAAAAGGACTGGGAAAAAAAACCCCGCTAATTTCCAATAAATTTGGGATTTTTTCAGAAGGAAAACAAGGTGGGAATCCGGGAATGGGAGGGATTTTGGGAATAAATACCGAGAAAATGACACTGAGGATCGCAAAGGAAACGGACAGGAAACACCCCGAGAGGTGACAGCGAAAATAAGAAGAAGGACAGCGATTATCCCAATAAATTATCCCAAGGAATTTTATCCCAAGGAATTTTATCCCAAAAATTCCCCTCCGAGACCCCAAATCCCCCCCTGAGGGCTCCGCTCTCACCTCAAGTTTCCCGCCTTTGCGCCACCGGAAGTGCGTCATCACGCAGCTCTCCGTTCCGTACAACATGGCGGCGCCCTGCAAGCTCCCGGCAGCCCGCGCGGTTCCGTACGGCAACATGGCGGCGACGCTGGTGCAGTACGTGGTGCTCCGCGGGGATCTGGCGCGGCCTCCCCGCTCGTGGCCGCTCGGTGCCGTGGTGGCTCAGGGCTGCCACGCGGCGCTGGCCGCCGTTCACGGTTACCGGGAGCATCCCGACACCGGAGCGTACCTGGAGCTGGGCGCCGCCATGAGAACCGTGGTGCTGGAGGTAGCGGCGCCGCCGCGGGGCATGATGGGAGCTCCGCGCTGAGGGGGACCCGGGCGCCATTTTGGGGGGGGCGGAGATGGAGCGGGAATCGGGAAAAAAATCCTGGTTTTTCCCCCCAAATCCCAATTTTTTATCCCATAATTCCGATTTTTTATCCCATATCCCGGTTTTTTCCTTGCAAAATCCCTATTTTTTTCCCGCCATTAAAACCGCGGTGCTGGAGGTAACAGCGCCGCCGTGGGGCATAACGGGAGCTCCGCGCTGAGGGGAAGCCGGGCGCCATCTTGGGGGGGGCGGAGATGGCTCCGGATTTTGCGGAAAATCAGGAAAAAATCCTGATTTTTTCCCCCCCAAATCCCGATTTTCCTTCAAAAATCCCGATTTATTTCTCCTAAAATTCCGCTTTTTTTCTCCCAAAATCCCGATTTTTTTTCCGCCATGAGAACCGTGGTGCTGGAGGTAGCGGCGCCGCCGCGGGGCATGATGGGAGCTCCGCGCTGAGGGGAAGCCGGGCGCCATCTTGGGGGGGGCGGAGAAGGATGGGGAATCCTGGAAAAATCCTGATTTTTCCCCTCCAAATCCCGATTTTTTCCTAAAATCCCCACATTTTCCCCCAAATCCCGTTTTTATCCTTGCAAAATCCCGATTTTTTTTCCCCGCTATGAGACCCGCGGTGCTGGAGATAGCGCGGGTCATTGATGGGAGCTCCGCGCTGAGGGGAAGCCGGGCGCCATCTTGGGGGGGGCGGAGATGGCTCCGGATTTTGCGGAAAATCAGGAAAAAATCCTGATTTTCCCCCCCCAAATCCCGATTTGTTTCTCAAAAAATCCCGATTTATTTCTCCTAAAATTCCATTTTTTTCTCCTAAAATCCCGATTTTTTTTCCCGCTATGAGAACCGCGGTGCTGGAGGTAGCGCGGGTCATTGATGGGAGCTCCGCGCTGAGGGGGAACCGGGCGCCATCTTGGGGGGGGCGGAGATGGCTCGGGATTTTTTTGGAAAATCGGAAATTAGGAAAAAAATCTGATTTTTTTTCACCCCAAATCCCGATTTTCCTTCAAAATCCTGATATTTTTCCCCAAAATCCCGCTTTTTTTCTCCCAAAATCCCGATTTTTTTTCCGCCATGAGAACCGTGGTGCTGGAGGCCCGATTTTTTTTCCGCCATGAGAACCGTGGTGCTGGAGGAAGTGCGGGGCATGATGGGAGGGGAGAAATCGGGATTTTGTGGGAAAAAAAATCGAGATTTTGTGGGAAAAAATCGGGATTTTGTGGGAAAAAATCGGGATTTTGTGGGGAAAAAAAATCGAGATTTTGTGGGAAAAAATCGGGATTTTGTGGGAAAAAATCGGGATTTGGAGAAAAAATCGTGTTTTTTTGTCGAAAAAAAGCGGGATTTCATGGAAAAAATCCCGAAGGAATTTCAAATCCAGATGGATTTGGGGGACACACCCATCATCGGGAATGCTCCAACCCACGATTTCCAAAGGCTTTCCCAATAAAAATTCCCTAAAATTCCACGCTTCCCTCTTTCAATCCCAACTCTTCACAATCCTCGGAATGAAAAAAAGGCTAAAAAAATCACAAAACCAGCCAGATAAGAGATTTAAAAAAATAAACGAAAAATCAGCAGGGGGTGGGAAAGTCAGCTCGGGTTTGGGAATAACGAAAATTCCTGGAAATAATTCCAATTTTTAATTTTTTTTTTTTGGCTCGGCAGGCTCCGGATGAGAATTCCTTGCTGGATTTGGCGGAATCGCTGAAGGAAAAAGGCGTCGAACACCGGCTTTGGATGGAGAATCCTGAGGGAATTCCCACGTGTTTGGCGCTCAGGCCTTATCCCAAAAATCAAGTGCAACAACACCTCAGGAAATTCAAACTCCTCAAATGACTCCATCCTGATTTTTCCAGGTTTTTTTTCTTCCTTCAAATCTGGGAATTTTGGAGGTGAATTCTGGCGTTTTCGGGATGAGGAATTTTGTGGGTTTTAAAGTTGTTTTTTTTTTTTTCTTCACGAGTGGAATTTGTGGTTTTTTTTTGTTGTTGTCGGGGATTTTTTTGGGGGGTTGGGAAAAATCCTGGTTGGATTTGGAGGGGTTGAGGGGGTTTTAGGGAATTTTTGGGAGTTTTTAGAGGGGGGAAGGAGGAAAAGTGGAAAAATAAGGGATTAAAGGAGGGAAAAAGGAAAAAAGGGGGAAGGAAAAAAGAAAAATAGGAAAAAAGGGGGGAAAAAAAGAGAAAAAAAAAGGAGAAATAATGAGGGAAAAATGAGGGAAAAAGGGAAAAGAAGGGGAAGGAAAATCTTTGAGGAAAAGAGGAAAAAAAAGGGGGGAAAAAGGACAAATAATGAGGGAAAAAAAGGAGGAAAAAATGGAAAAGAAGGGGAAGGAAAATCCTCGAGGAAAAAAAGGAGAAAAGAGGAAAAAGGAGAAGGAAAAAAGGGAAAAAAGAGGAAAAAATGGGGAAAAAAGGACAAATAATGAGGAAAAAAGGGAAAAAAGAGGAAAAAATGGGGAAAAAAGGACAAATAATGAGGGAAAAATGAGGGAAAAAGAGAAAAGAAGGGGAAGGAAAAACCTCAAGGAAAAAAAAAGGAGGAAATAGGGAAGAAAAAAGAAAAAAAAGGAGAAATAAAGGAGGAAAAAGGAAAAGAAGAGGAAGGAAAAAAAATGAGGAAAAAAATCCCAAATTTCCTTTAAGATTCCCATTTTTTTTCCCCTCCATCCTAAACTGGGAAATTTGATTTAGGTGGAATTTTGGGAAGAAATTCCCAAAAATCCCTGGGAATATCCAAAATTTGGAGCCACCTTAGGGCAGGAATTCGCTCAGGATGGGATTTGAGGTTTTTTCCCACCCAGAATTCCTGGAATTTGGGTGAATATTCCCAAATTCCCGTGGATTTGGGATGGTTTTCCCTCTTTTTTCCCCATTTCCAGCTTTCATTTTACAGATGCCAATTCTTGGGGATTTTTCTAAGGGAACTGAAATCCCAAAAAACAGCAAATCCCTGCATCCCATCCCAACTTTTCCAAAGGAATTCCTGATTTTCCAGCCCCAAAAATTAAATTTCCCATTTTTTTCCCCCCTAAATTTTTCCCTTTCCCACCTCCCAAAACAACAAAATTTTCCAAATTTCAGATTTCTCTTTTTTTTCTTTTTCTTTTTTCCATTTTTTTTTGCCCAAGAAATTTTCAGAGGAGAAAA